AAAAAAAACTACTTTTAATATTTGGGGAGCTTTTGTTGTACCTTTGTACGAAATTCTGCATTCTTCTTCTTTTCCTCCAATTGGAGTTTCTTTAGCTTCGCTTTTTCCTCTGCAAATACCAAAAACCATGATTTCAAGGTATTTAGGTAAAGTCTGCAAACGAGCCAAGAGGCCCATCAGGCCGGAGTTTATCCCGGTTTCAGTAGCACTAAACGACTAGGAATATTTCTGCTCCCCCCTGGATGGGATGCTAGTCCATCGCAGAGTTACCCCCCAGCATTTAATTCACCTGCCGGTACCCATTTGTACACCTGGGTAGAAAAAAATGGAATGGCTCATAATATTGTTGATAGTGGGTATTAGGAGAGACTAGAGACTGTCAAACCAGCTGATTTAATTATTAAAGACACTTTTTGCCAGTAAATGTATATATATTTTTTTCTGAATTTTTGGAGGTACACATGTGCATACGTGTGTATATGGTCTCTACACCCCTGTAAGACACTGCCTTCTACATACAATGCCTTCCTGGATTAGGTGTCAACACTAAAAAGAGTTGACTCTTAGGCTGCCTTCCTTTGGGGTGATCTGGATCAGGATCAGTGATCCAAGATCTGTCTGGATCATGGCACATCAAAGGAACCGATGAATCCATGACCAGAGTGGATTCAACGGTTCCTCTGATGCACCATGATCCAGACAGATCTTGGATCACTGATCCTGATCCAGATCACCCCAAAGGAATGCACCCTTTGTCTTATGAAAGCTAACACCTACGTACACCGCGTATAAGGATCGGGATCCTTTGAAGGATCCTGAATTTCCGGATCCCTCACCCTCCAAAACCAAATCTTTCCCATTTTCTCCGATTCCTAAGATGCTAAGATCGTTGCCTAAAACCTGTCAACCAAACCATTAGCATATAAGCTTACCTTACATGTATTGATTCTGATTTGAAACTGCATTTTCATTCCTATTTCTAATAATTTCACAACTTTGCATATCAGCTTACTTCATATTAAAGTTCTTGAACATCTTGCGATAACGTCGAATTTAGTTCCAACGTAAACAACAAAACGAAATTGCCATTTTCAGAAAGCAGCTAAGTTATAATTACATTATTTTAGCATGGAACATTCGCTTCAGAGTTAATGCAAAACCGAATTCGTGCCGTGATAAATTTACGGACAGCAGACGGGATTGCTAAGTGACTATGAGAGGAAGAACAACACGTCAGCTTGTAAACGGAAGCTTTACCTTTCGCCTTTTTGTTTTCTGTTGATGGTGGTGCATCCATGCTGCTAAGAATTGAACCGAGCAGATCCATTTTTCAGTGATAATTTTCAGTGTAATTAAAATCGCCCGGGCGTGATTGTGTTTAATAATTCGTGAAGTCTTTCAACTCCTTTGGGGAGATCTCGGCCGCCATTTTGAAGCTTTCTAGTGCCCAGACTCCTATGTTACGACGCTGCAGGTCTGGATGCTATCGTGTTTACTCGTCGTCGCGCACTTGTCGCGCACGAAATTATTATTTGCGTCTCGCTGTCTTCCTGTTGCGAATTATCATACTTTTATTTTTTTTTTCCCAACTTCTCAGTGGTTAGGCTCGATTTCCAGCTTTTTTTGCGTGTAGGGCTTTCCCGATTGTGCTCGTAAAATTCTGGAAAGTTGCTTACTGGATCGGAATGCCGAACAGTTACTAAAAACTGAATTGCCAAAAATCCAGAAAGTTACTACCTAATTTTCAAAAGTTGCTACCTGAATTTCTTGATATTTTTACATAAACATTAATTAAAAGTTCTATTTTGCGTTTTCACAATAATGTCTAACAGCGGTCTATAAAGATAGCTTAAAACTTAGCTTTTAAGAGCTGGTCGCAAATATGAGCGAAATTTAAGGATACTGTTATGTCTAAGGGAACAAAACACATGGTTCATTTGACGTCTTGCCAACTTGAACGAAACTAGCTCTACTGGTGGCATTCCCGGAGTCTAAAACCATATAAGAAATCAAACTGTTACACCTTTTTCGCATTCAAGTTAGATCGAAGCATGACAGAGGCTTCAAGGTAATCTTGGAGGTCCGTCTTGGAGGGCGGACTCTTGCTATGAGCCAGATACATTTGTCAGAAGACAAAAACCCTTTCTGCATTCAAGAAATTCGCATAAATTGAAGTTTCCTGTGAGATTGTTGACTTTTTCGTGCTTGAAATGTGCTCTAAACCTATATTTTGCTCAAAAGTTGCTAAGAAAGGCAGAACGTGCACGAGGTTGCTAGAACTGAAAAGAATTGCTCCAAACGCTAAAAGTTGCCCGAAAGTTGCCGAGCACAATCAGGACAGGCCTATTTGGGAGTCCGGTTGTTTTTCCTGGGGCAAGGAATGGACTTGGTGTAACACTACCAATGGAAATTGCAAAGCAAAGTTTACTTTAGTCATGCCTCGGCCTCGATCTTGAGTACGGCCCTCGGCCTCACGGTCTCAGGCCATTCGGTACTCAAGACCTCGGGCACAGTTTTCCCAATACAGACCTCCCGGAAGATAAATAACATATATAGTCATATATGTATCGGACAAACACGTGCGGAACACGTTAGCAACACATCAAATATTTTGTACACAACCTGTACACAAAATCCGGTGTAAACAAGACCTGCAGTACTCAACGCCACAACTTTTTAGACCAGAAGGCAACCAATAGGCACTATCTTGAAAAAGATTTAAGGGGTGAGCCATCAGATATCTTCGTTTCGCTTGTTATGTCAGAGGAAAAGTTTGACCACATTTCACAAGGTCTTTTTAAAAATCCCTAAACTGACTGACATGCTTATGACAGAGTTTACTTGGGAAAAAGCGCGGGAAAAAATACAACCAGTGGCAACCGCAGGACTAAACTTCTGAAACTTCAAAACCAAAGCAGGTTACATAGCTATGTACTTTTTACTTCATTAGCTCGGAATCTTAGTCCCCGTCCACACGACCTCGTTCCCAGGGCCTTTTCCCTGGCTTCCTCCACGCCAAGGAAAAAGCCCTGGGAACGAGGTTGCCGTCCACACCACGACGAGAAAAGGCGTTTTCACTCTAAAAACGCATCAAATGTTTTCTGTTCACACTACACCAGAGAAATCTGAAAACGCAGCAATCACCGGTCATTTTGGATTTATGTTTGAGGAAAACTCGGGCAGGAAAATCATATGATTATCGTGACGTCATCGTTTTCGAAAAGCTTCGTTTTCAAAATCTACGTTTTCCCTCCACGCTAAAACGCCAGCGTTTTTAAATTCCTCCGGTTTGAAGAGCGTTTTCGAAAAGTTCCGTTTTCGT